GACATCAGTCACATTGCGCCTGAGGTTTTTGACAGACATGGAGCATAATCTTACCTACACGTAGAAAACAACTAAATGGACCGATCTAAGTAATAAATCAATATTTTATGGTGTGGTTGTGTAAGTCAGGCTGTATCTAGGATATAGCCCAAGGTGCAACCTGACTGATGCCGTGCAGATGGGTCTCATTTGTTCTGTAGAAATTAGAGTTCCTGGAGCTTTCAGTTTCAGTATCACCTCAGACCATCACACACCAACATTTCCCAGTAGAGACAGGCAGGACTCAGCCATGAATCAGACGGACTCAAGTTGCATCTTGACAAATAAGCTGTGAGTCTGTCTGATGAACTGAACTGTTCATGTCAGGCTACAGGGCATCAGTACACATGTACCTCCTCGTAGACACACACTCACACACACACACGCACACACACTCACACACACTCATTACACTGCTTTAGCTGTCTGTTGCATTCTTTCTGATCCTGTGGTTGATTGCATGGTTTGTTTTTATGGATTGAGGATTTTTGTATGTTCTGGTAATTTAAGATGAGATTTGTTCTTCAATGGTTTCAATCTCAACTCACAGTTTTGTTTTATTGTACAAAAAAAAAATAAAGAAAAAGAGAACGAACACCAGATTTTTACCTCTGGGATGATTGTTGTTCTGAGCAGACGTTGCAGATCCGTTTAATATGAGTTCTCTTGTGCTGTTTGTTCTCAGAAACCACGTCGTGTCTCATGTGTTCTTTGCATTGCCTCCTCCCCCTCTGCTCTGCTGCAGGAGACGTTCACAGCTCGGCCTGCCTGAGATCATGGTCTGGACCAGGACGACCGCTAGATGTTCTGAGTGATGGGCTCTGACATACGTCTCCACTATCTGCTCCTCACAAAGACCAGACAAGGTGTTGACTGTGCGAGTTGGAGGATCGCGTCAGGAATTTTTCCTGGAATTGAAGACTTCCTGCTGTGACTAAACCATTCAGTACCAGACTGGATTGTATTTTTCCTCCGTTCTGTGTCTGTGGGAGTTTGGACCTTGGGGCTGGTCTGACAACATCGTTTATTAGAAGTCATTCATTGCAACCCAGAAGAACCCAGACCACACTAGTCCCGTCCCTCTCCAGACTGCTTTTCTTCCTTCATCCCAGGTTTACAGGAATATTTTTGACTTTGCTGTTTGGATTCTATCACATTTTCCAAACCACTGACGGACTCCCTGGTCTGTGAGCTCAACGACTGCACCTTGAAGCCCTGCAGCACCGTGTGAAGCTTCTGGCACGTGTTTGTCGTCCATCAGCAGTCATGGAGTCCGTAGCAGCAGCGAGGATGGCCATGGTGACGGACTCCCCGAACCCTTCGCTGAGGTCGAGGACGACTGCCACCACGGACGGCGACTCCTTCGTCAGCACCGCCAGCCTTCCCTGCAGCCACTTCCTCTCTGCCAACTTCATCGGTGTTGGTGAGTGTTTGCCTTCGTGACCTGCGAGTGCCTCGTTTGTCGTGATAAGACCTCGTTTGATGAATTCATCCAGACAGTGTGCCAGGAGTCTGCCTGTGTGTGAATGTGTGAAGCCTCGTGTTGTGCTGAGCAGCTCGTGGCCTCTGCGGCCTTGTGGGACATCGTGCTGTTTGGTGTTGTGCTGAGAACAGTGAGCAGCTTTGCCTTTCCTTATGTCAGTAAGCTGAGGATGCTTGGAGGCTTGATTATCTGAACAACTGGCATCAAATAGACTCAAATGTATGAAGGGAAGCCACAATGTGACGGTGGTGTGTGGAGCTGTTGGACAGGTTGTGAGCTGCAGGTTACCAGGTACAGGTGTTCTGACTGTGTGGACACGTTAGTGATCGGATCGGATTGGATGATTTTCTGCCTCCAGCAAACAAACGAGTCTTCTGGTGATTCCAACATTCTTATGATCTTGAGGAAAGCATGAAGCTGGTGCAGAACTGATCTGATCGTAGGTGAGAGGAGAGCATGAGAGGCTGCCGCTGGCGTCCAATCAGAGTCAGGAAGGATGTCTGTTAGTGTCAGACACCGAAAACTACAAACTACACTCCAGAGTTACTGAGCATTCAGATCAACTCCTGAAACTGAGTTTGAAACGTGAATCTAAACTACAGGTCAGGGTCTGGATTCTTTGTGGATGGTGTCGGACACCAGCGGCGTGAAGCAAAGCTGCTGTTTGTACAAACGTAGTTCAGGTGATGATGACAGAGGATGAAGAGTGCTGCACAGATGTTCTCTGTATGTCTTTATCTGCACATGTCCTATTAATGAGCTGCTGTATGACCCGATGTCCTGAACCGTTAACTACATCATCATCAGCCTTATCAACCTGGAGCTGTGACATGTCCATACGATCAGCTGTGAAAGTCTGACGCCCACATTATTGTTTTTAATGGAAATGTGTTTTGTAATCATGTTCACTCATCATCTCTCCTAACTTGAACGGTGTCGTAGCTGCATAGGAACGTTTTAAGAACATTGAACTTGTTCTATAAATATCCGGTCATGCTTCAGCTGCTTGGTTGCTGTCTTTTCAGAGGAGGGGATATAAACCCATGTGGTGGACGTCCTTTTGAGGAGTCCAGGAGCGTTGCCCCATCATGAGCTGTAGCTCTGCTGAAGCCTCCCAGCAGCGACCAGCCACAGTCCTCTTTTCCTGAGGATGTTCTGACTGAATGCAGCTGGTTGTAAACTGCAGCGAGTCCTCCGGTGTCATGTGGACGCTCCCAGCAGGCCTTAGATTCTCTGCTCCTTACAAGTCCTGACTGAGAACCACAGTTCAGTGGTTGTTCACACGATGAGCATTTAATCCTTCTCCTGTCACACAGCGGGACAACGTCGTTCATATGACCCATGTCATGTGCTTCTCCACTAGAGTTTGGTCAGCAAGCTGTCAACAGGAATGTGGTCGTATTATGAGAATAAACTGTCCAGAACATCCTCTGCATCAGTGGAGGCGTCTTTGTCTGGTTGTTTCTGGTCCAGGCTGTAGTTTGGTTACAGAGAGTGAAGGCTGCTGCAGTTTAATTTATTTTAATACCTGTATTCAGATGTGGACAAGGTGACCAAGGAGGACTAGATGTTGTTCACAGTTTGAGGCCAGTGGGCTGCTTTGGCCGCTGTCCGTATGGCACTGACCTGTTGGTGGACCTGAGTGGAGCTGAAGTCCAGCCACTGTGCCTCATAGTTCCTGCTCTGGGCTTTTTAATCTTCTGGTTCTTGCTGCACTGGCGGCCTTCCAGGACTTCTGATAGCTGGTTGTCTTTTCGTGTCAGCGCCATGAAAGCGCTCCATGTCTCTGCAGTGAAACCTTTTTATCAGGTGTCCTTCTGACTCCACCAGCGTTCTACATTCCCATATTAAAACATTAACTATCATCCATGAGTTTTCCTGATGTAACCTACTGACAGACACCATGGACGCTGCTGAGGGAGCCATCCTCTCACACGCTGACGTTAGAAGCTGCTCTTCATGCCGCAGAGCAGAATGCAGCCTAAATAATGAAATAATAGCAAAGGTCAAGGAGGAAGCAGCAGCATCCCTGTTGCTGAACAGACGGGTTTCCTTGCTGCTGGAGTGACTCGGCTTTGTTTGTCTGCATGGTTGAAAAGGACACCGGTGTCACTCAGCGGCGTTCAGAGAGCCTGGTGTGTGTGTCGGTGGTGTGTGTGTCGGTGGTGTGTGTGTCGGTGGTGTGTGTGTCGGTGGTGTGTGTGTCGGTGGTGTGTGTGTCGGTGGTGTGTGTCCTGCTGAACGAAGGCCTGCAGAGTCCAACCGCCTAAACGTCTGCCTGCTATTTGTTGCTGCCCTCACAGTGGCAGCTCAGCGGCCCAGAATGCAGTGCAGCCACAGTCAGTGATGGCTTTGGAGTCCTCTGGGCCATATCTACTGTACGCTCCAACGTCTACACACTGTTGGATCATTTTAAGACAAATGCTCATCTATGATGGACAGCAGCAAATTCACACCATTTCTCTGGAGAAGTATGTGTGTTCATGTATGCAAGGCCAGCTGCCTCGACAGCCCGACACAGGAGACTGATAAAGACAACTCCTTATCTCTCTGTACATCTCCAGAGGTTCACATGTACACCTCATGAAGTGTGTCCCCGTTAGCTGCTGGCCTGTTGTGACTTCGCGTCCAGGTTTAGCTGTTGAGCAAAGAAAAGCATCTGCAGAGGCCTCCACATGACTCTACATGATGCTCTGGGCTTTTATCATCAGGACTGTTTTTACTTTGACCTTAAAGAGTCGATGCAGTGTGTCACACATCTATGAGAATATTTTGTTGGCTCTATCTTTTCACGGGACAACATAGAAGAAAGGAGACTTTGCTCCAATGTGAAGCAGTCGGTATATCAGAGTAGATCCACTGTCCCCTCAGAGTAACTCAGTACAGCCGGGAATGTCTCAGCCGCTGGCAACACAAGTGAAAATGTCCATATTGGGCCCAGTCAGCCATTTTCCCTCCCTGTGTCATGTGACTCGTCAGTGTCACCAGGTCTCAGGTGTGACAGGTGGGTTAGATTTTGTGTTGTTGCTCTCCTACTGGTCACTGGAAGTTAAACATGGAGGCTCATTGCAAAGATCTCTGAGGATCTGACAAAAAACAATTGCTGCTCTTTTTTTGTTCACTTTTGTGACATACTGTACATCCATGCAAAGTTGAACTTCTCATTTCTATCAGTGTGGTGTTATCTTTCACAACATCGCCCCACAACTCGCCCTCTTCTGGTCCAAGGACAGTGACAGCAGGTCCTGGTCCAGATCAGTAGGCTGTTCAGTGACCCGAGGCTGCTCTCTGATTGATTGCTTTCCGATTTTCTGCATCCTGCACATTCTTGCTTTGTTGTACAACTGTTCACGGTCTCTCTCATCCACACCCTCTGCTGACTCAGTCTGTGTGAGTCTGGCTCTGCTCAGCAGCTCGTTATCTGACCAGGAGAGGCCAGTCCAGCTAGGAGTCCAGCTTCTGGCTGGAGCAGCACCCAAAAGAAAGAAAGTTCTGTTACTCAAACTACTGTTATCTACGGTTTGTTGATAATACATCAAACTCTGATTCACTGAGTGGTCACACAGTTTGGATTTAACCCTGTTTAACAGCACACTGCCTGTATAGAATAGATAGAATAGAATATATTATATATATATATACATACAGTTTTTAGGATTCTGCTCATTTGTCTGAAATAAGGACAACAGAAATGAAAAAGGGAATAAGTTGAGACACTGGCCCGATATGAGAGAAGCTGGAGGCGCATCATTTATGGCTTTAGTAGTTTTTTTCTAATGTTATAGTTAAATATGTGTAAACAAGCAGAAGATCAGGCTTTCTGTGAATTTGTGATAGTTATGCTTCGTATTAGTAACACTCTATGTCAAACAATATGCTGCTTATATATATATATGAACAGCGAGCGTCCATGACGGTCCAACACCAGCAGCTGGGCTCCGTGTGCGGCCGGGTTGTCCTCACATGTGGGTCAGGCAGGAGCTGGACCGTATCACCATGTCTTAGTTCTGCACAGGCTTTGGTTGAACATGATGTCACCAGGACGGCAGTGCCTGATTCATCTGGCCTCACCTTTGTACAGGAGGAGGAACTTTGTAGAGTCCATACTGTGACGGCAGAAAGACTGTCAGTTATATGAACACACTCAGCTCGTGACGGCACATTAACTGAAACAGCATTTAGTCCAACCGAGAAGCCTGCAGCATCTCAGCCTCTGTTTGTAGCTGCTTGCCTCACATGACACGAGGATACAGGATGTGTTCAGGCTCATGCTTTGCCAGCTACTTTGACCTGCTAATCCCCTGTCCTTCACATATGAGGATTTTAGCATTATAGCATTATAGTGCTAACTACAAATCAGCAGAAATGCTGTGATACCTGCTGCTGTACAGATGTTCCTCATCAGAAGCCCCAAACTACACTCACAGAAACAGAAAACAAGATTTAACATGTAGGCATGTTTGCAGCTGAATAAATCATGTTCATCCTTTTCTACACATCACGTCATGTCCCCATTGTCTTCCGTCATGCGCACCAGGACAGGACAAAACCTCCGAGCTGGAATTCCATTCTGGTCCGACACAGAGGATCTGCTCAGAAACATGTCGCAACCAGCAAGCACCAGGAAACCAGTGTGTGTGTGTGAATAATGGATGGGAGGGGAAGGCTGCAGGTGTCTGAGGTGTGTTGGAAAACAGCTGGCAGGTTCACCGAACATCCCAAATCGCCCAAATCAGCCTCAGCTGTACGCTGATGCTGCATTCACATGTAATTAAAATCCATCTTCCAAGTCCCAGTGTGGAGGGCCTGCTGTCAGTCAAAGCTCTGAGTGTGTGTGTGTGTGTGTGTGTGTGTGTGTGTGTGTGTGTGTGTGTGTGTGTGTGTGTGTGTGTGTGTGTGTGTGTGTGTGTGTGTGAGAAGGCAGTTCTAATCATTACTAC